TTTTATTAAGGTGGTGTCCTTGTTAAACCACAGAGTAACAGTCCATCATGAAGGGTACTTGAGAAAGCCAGCATTACTTCCTTAAAAAGGCTGGATAGATTAGATGGACCCTCAAATAGGGGAATGAAGTAGTACATGATGAGAACAGACAATGTGATGGCAGGAAATGTCACATTAGTTCCACAAATATTAAGGAGTGCATTTATTTAGGAAAGGATAAATTACCTTAAAAGGGGGGGAACAGAAGGAGGGCGAGCACAGGAAGTGTATGCTGCTCAAGAGAAAAAAGCATGAGAAATGAGTAAATGTGGCAAGTGGGAAGTGAAGTGACAGGAAGGTAAAGAGCTGGAGATAACACCCAGTGAGCACAGACTGGCCAAAATCACGTAAAAAATAATGGACGTTCTCTGACTATCCAGAGGTCCCAGGTTCCACTCCTCCTATGGCTGTCGTGACTACCTGGAGTGCCCCACCGGTTCCTTTCTGCAGTTTTAACAATTGGTATAAAAGAAAGACAGGAGTTAGAAGCTAAGAGCAAAACAAAGAGGTGGTAAAGTGATAATTACTGTTTGGAAGTAACAAGCATAAAAGCAACATTTGAGCTCTTGTGAACAGGGGAGGTCACTTCATCACTGCAAAGTGTGGGGGGAGAAGAGGAGGGGAGCCCGGGATATCTCCAGCAGAGAAAGGAGAACATCAAAGCATGCAAAAGATTTCCTAAAAGAGTTAGAATCAACCGACCAATCCATCCCCCATCCCCTCAGCTATTCAGTCCCATAAAAGAAAGTGTTGCTTTTATACAAATTAGAAGCAGTGGAATGTGTGAGCATTTCCTAGTGCATGGCTAGTTCCTGTAATGGGGTGTGTTTTCTGCTGACCTCATCAACTGTGTCATTAAATTGAAGGAGACAAAAATCACTAGGAAAATATTCTGGTATCTAGACTCTCAATAGGGACGGTGATCTCAGAGGAGTCGCTCTTTATTCCAGAAGGTACCCTACGATCTAACAGGACTGGCAAGTCTGTACGCAATGAAATCTGACAATTTAAACTCATGGGATGCATATGGACAAAGCTTGATGGGGAAACTTGCATTCAATCCATTTGGACGGTGTGTAACTCAAGTCAATGTTTTGAATTTCTCACTGCGTCATTATCGTCCAAACTATATTAGCAGAATGAGAGAACTAGCATTGCCAGAGCAAGAATTAGAAATTTGAATACTGATTGGGAATATCAAGCTGTGCGTTATTCTCCTGCTTCAGTCATATGCTGTTGAGCTTAAACACCCTTTCCCTCCATTTCCTCCTCGGCCTAGTTCTGTGTTCTGCACAAATAGTCGTTATCCTTGTTGTAGAAATTGCCTTTTCTCAGAAAACTGGTTGTTGACCATAAACCTTTACCATAAATTTTTAGGCAACTTTAGATGTCCCTGAGTGCCTTGAATACAAAGACATTGAGTATGTCGCAGTCTGCAGTGTTCTGCAGGAGGCTAATGAGTTCTTCATGTTATGATGCTTGACCTCCCCTCACCCCCTCAACCCCCCCCCCCCAAAAAAAAAAAAAAA